ATGTTGTTTTTGGGGTCCCTCACTCACCACAGGGGGGTGTTGAGCTGCATCAGCAGCCCCTCCATGCTTTGGGGTCCCCCCAAGGTATTTTGGGGTCCCTCAGGGTATTTTGGGGTCCCCCCCATGTTTTGGGGTCCCTCAGGGTATTTTGGGTCCCCCCCCATGTTTTGGGGTCCCCCCCATGTTTTGGGGTGCCTCACTCACCACAGCGGGGTGTTGAGCTGCAGCAGCAGCCCCCCCATGTTTTGGGGTCCCTCAGGGTATTTTGGGGTCCCTCAGGGTATTTTGGGGTCCCCCCATGTTTTGGGGTCCCTCAGGGTATTTTGGGGTCCCCCCCATGTTTTGGGGTCCCTCAGGGTATTTTGGGGTCCCCCCCATGTTTTGGGGTCCCCCCATGTTTTGGGGTGCCTCACTCACCACAGCGGGGTGTTGAGCTGCAGCAGCAGCCGGGCCAGCGCCCGCCGGCACTGCGGGTCTGACAGCAGCCCCATGGACCTGGGGGGATATGGGGGGGATATAGGGGGTCAGGGGGGGCACCGGGACCCCACACAGACCCCCCCAAAAACCCCAAACCCCACATGGAGACCCCAGACCCACCAGAGACCAGGGAAACCTCAAAATCCCCATAGACCCCACAGAGAGCCCAGAGAAACCCCAGAGAGACCCCACAGAAACCCCCAAACACCACAGAGACCCCACAGGGAGACCCCAGACCCCACAGAAACCAGAGAGACCCCACAGAGACCCCAAACACTACAGAGACCCCGCAGAGACCCCACAGGGAGACCCCAGACCCCACAGAGAGACCCCAGACTCCACACAGACCCCACAGAGCACCCCCAAACCCCAGAGAGACCCTAAAGACCCCACAGAGCCTCCCCAAGAGGGGTCTGTGGGGTGTCCCACAGAGACCCCCCCAGAACCCAGTGAGACCCCAGAGACCCCCACAGAGACCCCCCAAAAACCCCACAGAGACCCCTAAAAACCTCACAGAGAGCACAGAGCCCCCCCCCCCAGAACCCAGTGAGACCCCAGGGACGCCCCCAAACCCCACAGAGCCCCTAAAGACCCCACAGAGCCCCCAAACCCCAGAGACTCCAGACCCCAGAGACCCCCAAAAACCTCACAGAGACCCCACAGAGACCCCAGTGAGCTCCCCCAAACACCACAGAGACCCCCAAAAACCTCACAGAGACCTCCCCCCAAACCCCTCACCCACCCCATGGACTGCCAAACCCCCCAAACCCCACAGAGACACCGAGGAGCCCCCCAAAAACCCATCCCCTCCCCATGGACACCCCAAACCCCATAGAGCCCCCAAACCCCACAGAGCGAGCCCCTAGAGCCCCTTTACCCACCCCATGGACCCCACAGAGTCCCCCAAGGACTGCACAGAGGCCCCTCCCCACCCCATGGACCCCAAAACCCGCTCCTTAAGGACCCCCCAAACCCCAAAGAGACCCCAAAAACCCCCTAGAGCCCCCCCAAATCCCACACCCATCCCATGGACCCCCCAAAACCCCCCCAGACCCCCCAAACCCCTCACCCATCCCATGGAACCCCCAAAGACCCCACAGAGCCCCCAAATCCCCCTCAGGTCCCCCCCAATTTCCCTCAGGCCCGGGCCCTGCCATCCCCCACGCCCCCACACCGCGTTCCCCCGCCCCCCACAGCCCCCACACGGCCCAGCTCCCTGCCCCGCACCCCCTGAGCCTTCCGGGACCCCCAAAAACCCCAAAATGTCCCAAAAAGCCCCAAAATGCCCCAAATCCCCCAAAAACCTGCGGGGCACGGCACGGCCAGGCCGCTCAATCGCTGCCTGAGCGCGCGGCCAGGGCGGGGAGCGGAGCGCCGAGACAGCGATCGAGGGCACTGCACCGCCCGGGGGCACCGGGCGAGGGGCGGGGCCAACGGGGTGTGGGCGGGGACAACAGGCTATGGGCGTGGCCAATGGAAGTGGGCGGGGCCATGGGAATAACGGGGATTTGGGGTAAAGGGGCAAAAAAGGGGGAAAAACGGGGGGAAACCAGGGGGGAAAAACGGGGAGTTTGGGGGGAAAAAAAGGGGAAAAAAGAGGGGAAAATGGGGGCACCAAAGGGGGGAAACCAGGGGGGTTTGGGGGCAGAAAAGGGGCAAAAGATGGGGGCGTTGAGGGCAAAAAAGGGGGAAAATCGGGGGGTTTGGGGTGAAAGGGGTAAAAATGGGGATAAAACGACGGGTTTGGGGGAAAAAAGGGGGGTTTGGGGTCACAAAATGGGGCAAAAAAGGGGCAAAAACGGGGGGGAAACTGGGGGGGCACAAAAAGGGGGCAAAAAGGGGGGGAAAATTGGGGGTTTGGGGTTACAAAAGGGGGCAAAAAAGGGGCAAAACTGGGGAATTTGGGGGCACAAAAGGGGGGAAAATGGGGGGTTTGGGGTAAAGGGAGTAAAAATGTGGGGAAAACGGGGGATTTGGGGGCAAAAAGGAGGGAAAACCATGAGGTTTGGGGGCATAAAAGGGGACAAAAAAGGGGGCAAAAATGGGGGGTTTGAGGGGTACAAAAGGGGGAAAAAGAGGGCATTTGGGGGCACAAAAGAAGGCAAAAAGGGGGGAACCCGGGGGGTTTGGGGGCAAAAAAGGGGGGTTTGGGGGCACAAAATGGAGAAAAAAGGGGGCAAAAATGGGGGATTTGGGGCACAAAAGAGGGCAAAAAAGGGGGGTTTGGGGGCGCAAAAGGGGCTCTGGGCAAAGGGAGGTGACAGGGACAGCCTGGGGACAACGGGGTGTCACGGGGGACACAAGGGGGAGCAGCAGTGGGGACGGGGGGTGTGCAGGGGGGTGACACACCCAGGGCACACAGGTGACACACAGAGGGACACACAGCCGCAGTGACACACCCTGGTTTATTGCCATGGTGACACCCCAAAACACAGGGTCACAGCCACAGGGTCCCCAGTGTCCCCAGGACTGGTCACTGCAGTGTCCCCAGGACTGGTCACTGCAGTGTCCATCTCCAGTGTCCCCAGGACTGGTCACTACAGGGTCACTGCAGTGTCCCCAGGACTGGTCACTGCAGTGTCCATCTCCAGCGTCCCCAGGACTGGTCACTGCAGGGTCACAGCCACAGTGTCCCCAGTGTCCCCAGGACTGGTCACTGCAGTGTCCATCTCCAGCGTCCCCAGGACTGGTCACTGCAGTGTCCATCTCCAGTGTCCCCAGGACTGGTCACTGCAGGGTCACAGCCACAGTGTCCCCAGTGTCCCCAGGACTGGTCACTGCAGTGGAGTGATGCTGCAGCCCCCAGGGGTCAGTTGGTCACCACAGGGGTCACTCAGCCATGGCAGTGTCCCCACTGATGACAGGGCCATGGCAGTGTCCCCACGGTGTCCCCACAGTGGTCACTGTGCCATGGCGGTGTCCTGGTGTCCCCATGGTGGTCACTGTGGTCAGTGACGGCTCCATGGTGGTGTCCTGGTGTCCCTGCAGTGGTCACTGTGCCATGGTGGTGTCCCTGCAATGGTCACTATGGTCAGTGTCTGCTCCATGGTGGTGTCCTGGTGTCCCCACAGTGGTCACTGTGGTCAGTGACTGCTCCATGGCAGTGTCCTGCTGTCCCCACAGTGGTCACTAAGGGCACTGTGCCATGGCCAGGTCCCTGCAGCGGTCACTGCTCTGTGGCAATGTCCCCTCAGTGTCCCAGTGGTCGGTCACTGTGCCATGGCAGTGTCTCTGCTGGTCACTCTGGTCACTGTGCCATGGCCATGTCCCCATGGTGGTCACTGCGATGGTCACCGTGCCATGGTGATGTCCCAGGATGGTCACTGTGGTCACTCAGTGCTCCATGGCAGTGTCCTGGGGCTGTCCCTGTGGTCAGTCAGTGCCCCATAGCGGTGTCCTGGGGTGGTCGCTGTGGTCACTCAGTGCCCCATGGCGGTGTCCTGGGGTGGTCACTGTGGTCAGTCAGTGCTCCATGGCAGTGTCCTGGGGTGGTCACTGCGGTCACTCAGTGCTCCATGGCGGTGTCCTGGGTGGTCACTGCGGTCACTCAGTGCTCCATGGCGGTGTCCCTGCGGTCACTCAGTGCTCCATGGCGGTGTCCTGGGTGGTCACTGTGGTCACTCAGTGCTCCATGGCGGTGTCCCTGCGGTCACTCAGTGCCCCATGGCGGTGTCCCAGGCTGGTCACTCAGCGCTCCATGGCGGTGTCCTGGGGTGGTCACTGCGGTCACTCAGTGCTCCATGGCGGTGTCCCTGCGGTCACTCAGTGCTCCATGGCGGTGTCCTGGGTGGTCACTGTGGTCACTCAGCGCTCCATGGCAGTGTCCTGGGTGGTCACTGTGGTCACTCAGTGTTCCATGGCAGTGTCCTGGGTGGTCACTGTGGTCACTCAGTGCCCCATGGCAGTGTCCTGGGGTGGTCACTGTGGTCACTCAGTGCTCCATGGCGGTGTCCTGGGGTGGTCACTGTGGTCACTCAGTGCTCCATGGCGGTGTCCTGGGGTGGTCGCTGTGGTCACTCAGTGCTCCATGGCAGTGTCCTGGGGTGGTCACTGTGGTCACTCAGTGCTCCATGGCGGTGTCCCTGCGGTCACTCAGCGCTCCATGGCGGTGTCCTGGGGTGGTCGCTGTGGTCACTCAGTGCTCCATGGCGGTGTCCTGGGTGGTCACTGCGGTCACTCAGTGCTCCATGGCGGTGTCCCTGCGGTCACTCAGTGCTCCATGGTGGTGTCCTGGGGTGGTCACTGTGGTCACTCAGCGCTCCATGGCGGTGTCCTGGGGTGGTCGCTGTGGTCACTCAGCGCTCCATGGCGGTGTCCCTGCGGTCACTCAGTGCTCCATGGCGGTGTCCTGGGGTGGTCACTGTGGTCACTCAGTGCTCCATGGCGCTGTCCCAGGCTGGTCACTCAGCGCTCCATGGCAGTGTCCTGGGGTGGTCACTGTGGTCACTCAGTGCTCCATGGCAGTGTCCTGGGTGGTCACTGTGGTCACTCAGCGCTCCATGGCGGTGTCCCAGGCTGGTCACTCAGCGCTCCATGGCGGTGTCCTGGCGCAGCCTGGCCCTCACCACGCCGTCCAGCACGGCGTGCAGCCCCCGGCAGGCGGCCTGGGCGGCGTCCAGCACGGGCCGCAGCCGCTCCTGGTGCAGGCGGGCGCTGAGCTGGCACAGGGCCAGCTGCCCGCTGCCCGCCACCGTGGCCACGGCCAGCCGCGGGCCCCCGGCCGCCTCCTCGGCCGCGCTCAGGTCGCTCAGGGCCACCGGGGGCCCGGCCGGGGGCTCGGCCAGCCCGGCCGACCCGGCCACCACGGCCCCGCGCAGCGCCACGCCCGCGTCCAGGAGCGCCAGTCCTGCTGCGCTGACACTGGCACCCAGCTCACCGCCGTCCGCCTGGAGAACCTGGGGGAAAATGGGGCAGAGTCACCCTAAAATATCCCCAAAATCGTATTGACACTGTGTGCCCCAGCAGCGCCATGCCGGCGTCCAGGAGCGCCAGTCCTGCCGCGCTCACGCTGGCACCCAGCTCACCGCCTGGAGAACCTGGGGAGAAACGAGTCAGGGTCACCCTAAAATGTCCCAAAATCTCCCCAAAATATCCCTAAAATCGTATTGACACTGTGTGCCCCAGCAGCGCCACGCCGGCGTCCAGGAGCGCCAGTCCTGCCGCGCTCACGCTGGCACCCAGCTCACCACCATCGGCCTGGAGAACCTGGAGAGAAATGGGTCAGGGTCACCCTAAAATATGCCAAAATATCCTCAAAATTGTATAGACACTGTGTGCCCCAGCAGTGCCAGTCCTGCTGCACTGACACTGGCACCCAGCTCACCGCCATCGGCCTGGAGAACTTGGGGAGAAACGGGTCAGGGTCACCCCAAAATATCCCCAAAATTGTATAGACCCTGTGTGCCCCAGCAGCGCCACGCCCGCGTCCAGGAGCGCCAGTCCTGCTGCGCTGACACTGGCACCGAGCTCACCGCCGTCCGCCTGGAGAACCCGGGGGAGTCAGGGTCACCCCAAAACACCCAAATCACCCCAAAACAAATCCTAAAACACCCCAAAACTCCCACAGGTCCCATGTGCACCTGCTCAGCCATGCTCACGCTGGCTTGCCCATGTCTGTCTGGAGGACCTGATGGGGACAGGGGATCCGGACACCCCAAAACATCCCCTAAATTAGTCCTAAAGACACCCGAGCTACCCCAAAACCCCACAGACACTGTGTGCCCCAGCCCAGCTGTGCCCCCATCAGCCTGGAGAACCTGGTGGGGGACAAGGGGTCAGGGTCACCCCAAAAACACCCAAATCACCCTACAACACCCCCAAAACATCCCCTAAAACCCCCCAAAATCCCATAGTGACTGTGTGCCCCAGCCTGGCTGCGCTCACGCTGGCCCCCGGCTTGGCCCCGTCTGCCTGGAGAACCTGGGGGGGACAGGGGTCAGGATCAACCCAAAAACACCCAAATCGCCCCAAAAGATCCCAAGATACCCCAAAACATCCCCTCTAATACCCCAAAACCCCACAGATCCTGTGTGCGCCAGCTCGGCCACGCTCATGCTGGCCCCCAGCTCGCCCTTGTCCATCTTGAGGATCTGAGGGCGGACATGGGGTCAGGGACACCCCAAAAACACCCAAATCACCACAAACACCCCCTAAAACACCCCAAAACATCCCCTAAAAAACCCCAAAACCACACAGAACCCATGTGTGTCCCAGCCCGGCTGCGCCCCCTGCGACGCCCAGCTTGCCTCCATCTGCCTGCAGCACCTGTGGTCAGGGACACTCCAAAAACACCCAAATCACCCCAAAACTCCACAGATTTTGGGTGAGCACGGCCCCTCCAGGACCCCTAAATCCCCCCAGGACCCCCCAAACTCACCTGGACGTGCACATTGATCTGGGAGTGGGAGTACAGCTGGCTGAGCATGGCTCCCCCCAGGAACCCCCAGACCCTCCAAAGACCCAGGACCCCCCCCAAATCCTGTCACGACCCCCCAAAATCCACTCCAGGACACCCCCAAATCCTCTCAGGACCCCCCCAATCTCACCTGTACGTGCACGTCGATCTGTGAACGGGGATAGAGCTGGCTGAGCACGGCTCCCTCCAGCCCTGCAGCAGCAGAGCACCCACAAACCCCCCCAGAACACACCCAAATCCCCCCCAGAACATCCCCAGGACCCCCAAAGCCTCCCCAATCTCACCTGTACGTGCACGTCGATCTGGGAGCAGGGATAGAGCTGGCTGAGCACGGCTCCCTCCAGCCCCGCAGCAGCAGCGCACCCACAAACCCCCCCCAAACACCACAGAACACCCCCAAACCTCACCTGTACGTGCCCCAGAACACCCCCAAATCCCCCCCCAAACACCCCCAAATCCCCCCCAGACACCCCAAAATCCCCTCAGGACCCCCCCAAATCTCACCTGTACGTGCACGTCGATCTGCGAGCGGGGATAGAGCTGGCTGAGCACGGCTCCCTCCAGCACGCCCCGCAGCAGCAGCGCTCGCTCCCCCGATCTCCGGTCCGTCCCGCCCTGCGCCGGCCGCCGGCGCCGCTCGCCGCCCCCCGCGAACGGGGCCGAGCTGCAGCGGACGCTGAGCAGCGCCCGGTCCGGGGGGGCCTTGGCCCGGGACCCCCGGACCTGCGGGGGAAAAAGGGGGTTGGAGTGGGGGGCACACACATGGGGGTGGTGGGACCACCGGACCTAGGGGGGAAAATGGGGGTTGGAGTGGGGGGCACACATATGGGGGTGGTGGGACCACCGGACCTAGGGGGGAAAAGGGAGTTGGGAGTGGGGGGCACACACATGGGGGTGGTGGGACCCCCGGACCTAGGGGGGAAAAGGGAGTTGGAGTGGGGGGCACACACATGGGGGTGGTGGGACCCCCGGACCTAGGGGGGAAAAGGGAGTTGGGAGTGGGGGGCACACATATGGGGGGGCCTTGGGCCGGGACCCCCGAACATGAGGGGGGAAAAGGGGCTGGGAGTAGGTGGGGGGACACACACATGGGGAGGGGGCTGTGGGACCCACATATGAGGGGGAAATGGGGGGTGGGAGTGGGAGGGTTATCCAAATGGGGGGGGCTGTGGGACCCCCATATGAGGCGGGGGGGGCTTGGGCTGGGACCCCCGAACCTAGGGGGGAAAGAGCTGGGAGGGGGGGCGGTCACCCACATGGGGGGGCTGTGGGACCCCCGAATCTGAGGGGGAAAAAGGGGGACTGGGAGTGGGGAGGGGATCACCCACATTGGGGAGGAGGGTGTGGGACCCCCATATGAGGGGGTGAGAGAGAGAAACGGGGAGGTGGTCCCACGACAGGGGGGACACAAACTGGGGAGGGGGGCTCAGAACGGGGGACCCTAAAAACCCCACGGGGAGGGGGGCAGGGACACTGGAGGGCGGGTGTCATAGACCTGAGGGGGCTCACAAGCCCCGAGCGGGGGTCACAAGCCCCAGGGGAATTCACAAGTCCTGAGGGGAGGTTTCACCAGCCCCGGGGCCCCGCTCACCTCGTGCGGGCCGTACACGGCCGCCAGCACTTTGGTGTTGCCCTGCTCCAGGTAGGCCGAGCCGTCGGCCCGGGCCAGCACCCCGAGCCGAGCCCGCACCTTGCGCAGCTCGTCCGGCCGCCGCCCGTCCGCCCGGAACCCCGCGTCCGACACCAGCTCCAGCCCCGCCATGCCGGTACCGCGTGTGGGAACGGACTACAACTCCCGGCGTGCCCCGCGCGCGGCCTTTACGGCCCGTGCGCGCCGTGAGCGGCCCTACTACAACTCCCGGCGTGCATCGCGCGCGGCCTTTACTGCCCGTGCGCGCCGTGTGGGGCCGGACTACAACTCCCGGCTTAGCCCACGCGAGAAGCCCGCCAACGGCGGGCACCGCCCCCTTGACGCTCTCGCGTCTGAGGCCACGCCCCCATCGGCTAGTCCCACAGAGCCCACGCCCACTGTGACGCAACACCCACATCAGGCCACACCCCCAGGTCACTCGAGCCCTGAGGCCACGCCCCCCACGACCACGCCCTCTGCTATAGACCACGCCCCCAGGGAGGCGGTGTCCCGGTTCCGCCCCCTTTCGGCCCCGCCCCCCCTGAGGCCCCGCCCCCTCGGTCGGTTCGCGGCACCGAACGGGACCGGGCGGCACCGGAGCGACCCCAGCGCCCCCTGGCGGAGCGGCAGCACCCCCGGACCGCCCCTCGGGCACGGCCGAACCTTCCCGGGCTGTCCCGGTCCCCGTCCCGAGCGGGCACCGCCGGCCGTCCCGGGCGCTCGGAGCGGGTCAGAACCGGCACCGGCACAGCACCGAGCCCGTGTCCTGCCGGCACCGCGCGGCACCGAGCGCTGGGCGGGCCGGAGCGGGCGGCTCCGCTCTGCCGTTCCCGCTGACCCCTGTCCGGCCAGCGCTGACCTTGCCCAGGCCGGTGCGGACCGGCCCCGAGCGCCGCCTCCCCCTGCCCGGTACCGATCCCGATCCCGGTCCCGATCCCGGTGCAGCCATGGCCGCCCCGCCGGGCCCCGCCGGGTTCCAGTTCGCCATCGACCGCGGCGGGACTTTCACGGACGTGTTCGCCCGCTGCCCCGGCGGCCGCGTCCGCGTCCTCAAGCTGCTCTCCGAGGACCCCGCGTACCGCGACGCGCCCACCGAGGGCATCCGCCGCGTCCTGCAGGAGGTGCGACACCGGGGGGACAGCGGGGGGACAGCGGGGGGACAGCGGGGACACGGCGGGGACACCGGGGGGACAGCGGGGGATAGCGAGGGGATAGCGGGGGGATAGCGGGGGGACAGCAACGGGACCCCGGGGAACGGCGGGGACAGCGAGGGGGACAGCGGGGCTTGGCGGGGACAAGGCAGGGGGACGCGGCAGGGACATGGCGGGACCCCCCAGATTCCCTTCTGGGACCACCGGGACCCCCGGGACCCCCGGGACATGGCGGGGGGACAGCAGGATCCCCGGGACCCCCCCCAAGTGCCTTGCTGGGACCACCGGGACCCCCCAGGACATGGCGGGGGGACACTGGGACCCCCGGGACCCCCCAAACCCCCCGAGTACCCTTCTGGGACCACCGGAACCCTCGGGACCCCCGGGAGCACAGCAGGGACATGGCGGGACCCCCGGGACCCCCCAAGTATCCTGCTGGGACCTCTGGGACCCCCCAAACCCCCCAAGTGCCCTGCTGAGACCCCCGGAACCCCCCAAACCTCCCCGAGTGCCCTGTTGGCACCCCCGGGACCCCCCAAACCCCTCGAATGCCCCGCTGGGACCCCCGGACCGCTCAGAGCCCCCCGAGTGCCCTGTTGGGACCCTCGGGACCCCCTGGGACCCCCTGAATGCCCTGCTGGGACCCCCGGGAGCCCCCCCAGACCCCTCCTGCCCCCCAGGATCTTCTCCAGGTCCCCCTAATGCCCCCCTGCCCCAAGCCCGGGCCTGCCTGGACCCCTGGCCCCACCCCGTGCTGGGGGTCCCCGAATGGGTCTGGGGTCCCCAAATGGGTCTGGGGTCCCGGGTCTCAGTTTTGGGGTCCCTCAGGAGCGGGGGGTTTCTCTGCCCCAGGATGGACAAGTCTGGGATCCAGTGGATCCACTCGGGCACCGGGGGGGCTGTGGGTCCCCAAATGGGTCTGGGGGTCCCCAAATGGGTCTGGGGTCCCCAGGTGGGTCTGGGTCTCAGTTTTGGGGTCCCGCAGGAGCTGGGGGTGCCCCTGCCCCGGGAGCAGCCCCTGGACGGGTCCCGGATCCAGTGGATCCGCATGGGCACCACGGTGGCCACCAACGCGCTGCTGCAGCGCCGGGGCGAGCGCGCGGCCCTGGCCGTGACCCGCGGCTTCCGACACCTGCTGCACATCGGGACGCAGGCCCGGCCGCGCCTCTTCGACCTGGTGAGCACACCTGGGTACACCTGGGTACAGCTGGGCACACCTGGGCACACACCTGGGCACACTTGGGCACACACCTGAACCCCCACCTGTACCCCAAACCGACCCAAACCCAACCCCAACCCCGCCCCGACACCTGCTGCACATCGGGACGCAGGCCCGGCCGCGCCTCTTCGACCTGGTGAGCACCTGGGCACACCTGGGCACACCTGTGTACACACCTGTACCCCTACCTGTACCCCAAACCCAACCCCAACCCCGCTCCAATACCTGCTGCACATCGGGACACAGGCCCAGCCACGCCTCTTCGACCTGGTGAGCACACCTGGGCACCTGGGGTACCTGGGTGCCCCTGAACCCCTACCTGTACCCCAAACCCAGCCCCAACCCCACCCCGACACCTGCTGCACATCGGCACCCAGGCCCGGCCACGCCTCTTCGACCTGGTGAGTGCACCTGGGCACACACCTGGGCACACACCTGGGCACACCTGGGCACACCTGGGCACACCTGGGTACAGCTGGGCACACCTGGGCACACACCTGAACCCCCACCTGTACCCCAAACCCATCCAAACCCACCCAAACCCAGCCCCAACCCCGCCCCGACACCTGCTGCACATCAGGACCCAGGCCCGGCCGCGCCTCTTCGACCTGGTGAGCACCTGGGCACACCTGGGCACATCTGGGCACACCTGGGTACACCTGGGCACACCTGGGTACAGCTGGGTACCGACCTGAACCCCAAACCTGGCCCCAAACCCACCCCGACACCTGCTGCACATCAGGACCCAGGCCCAGCCCCACCTCTTTGACCTGGTGAGTGCACCTGGCACACCTGGGCACACCTGGGTACAGCTGGGGACACACCTGGGAACACACCTGCGAATACCTGGACACACACCTGGGCATACCTGGGTACACCTGGGCGCACCCCTGCGCACACACCTGTACACACACCTGGGCACACACCTGGACACTCCTGTACATGCACCCAGGCACACCTGGGCACACACCTGTACACAAACCTATACACACACCTGTACACACACCTGTACAGACACTTGGGCACACACCTGGGCACACACCTGTGCACACCTGGGCGTACCTGGACAGCCCTGTACACACACTTGGGCATACCTGTGCATACACCTGGGCACACACCTGGGCACACCCCTGGGTACACCTGGGCACACACCTGGGCACACCCCTGTACACACACCTGGGCACACCTGTACACACCTGGGCAAACCCCTGTACCCACCCCTGTACCCACCCCTGGGCACACACCTGGGCACACACCTGGGCACACCTGTGCCTGCTCTGGCACTGCCGGGTCTGTGGTGCCACATGGCCCTGTCCCAATGTCCCCTGGGGTGGGGGTGCCAGGTCCCTGTGCCCGCAGTGCCACATGTCCCCTGTGTCCTGTGACCCCCCCGTGTCCCCTCAGTGTCCCCTCAGTGTCCCCTCAGTGTCCCCTGTGTCCTGTGTCCCCTCAGTGTGCCCTCAGTGTCCCCTCAGTGTCCCCTCAGTGTCCCCTCAGTGTCCCCTGTGTCCTGTGACCCCCCCGTGTCCCCTCAGTGTCCCCTCAGTGTCCCCTGTGTCCTGTGACACCCCTGTGTCCTGTGACCCCCCCGTGTCCCCTCAGTGTCCCCTCAGTGTCCCCTCAGTGTCCCCTGTGTCCTGTGACCCCTCAGTGTTCCCTCAGTGTTCCCTCAGTGTCCCCTGTGTCCTGTGTCCCCTCAGTGTGCCCTCAGTGTCCCCTCAGTGTCCCCTCAGTGTCCCCTCAGTGTCCCCTGTGTCCTGTGACCCCCCCGTGTCCCCTCAGTGTCCCCTCAGTGTCCCCTGTGTCCTGTGACACCCCTGTGTCCTGTGACCCCCCCGTGTCCCCTCAGTGTCCCCTCAGTGTCCCCTCAGTGTCCCCTGTGTCCTGTGACCCCTCAGTGTTCCCTCAGTGTTCCCTCAGTGTCCCCTGTGTCCTGTGACCCCCCCCATGTCCCCTCAGTGTCCCCTCAGTGTCCCCTGTGTCCTGTGACCCCCCCCGTGTCCCCTCAGTGTCCCCTCAGTGTCCCCTGTGTCCTGTGACACCCCTGTGTCCTGTGTCCCCTCAGTGTCCCCTCAGTGTCCCCTCAGTGTCCCCATATTGACCCCCTTGGTGACATACACGGTGTCCCCTCAGTGTCCCCTTGGTGTCCCCTCAGTGTCCCCCCGGTGACACACGAGATGTCCCCTTGGTGTCCTCACACTGACCCCCACAGTGTCCCCTCAGTGTCCCCACACTGTCCCTTCAGTGTCCCCTCTGTGTCCCCTCAGTGTCCCCTCAGTGTCCACACACTGACCCCCCCCGTGTCCCCTCGGTGTCCCCACACTGTCCCACGTGCTGTCCCGCCTGGTGTCCCCTCGGTGACCCGTGGCCGCCTGGCACGGGGCTGGCACGTCCTGTGACCGGCACCGTGTCCCGTGACTGGCACCGTGTCCCCGTGTGCCCCACGGTGTCCCCAAACACCCTGTCCCGGTGTGTCCCCTCCCCGTGTGCCCCACAGTGTCCCCACCACTCTGTCCCTGTGTCCCCTCCCCGTGTGCCCCACGGTGTCCCCAAACACCCTGTCCCGGTGTGTCCCCTCCCCGTGTGCCCCACAGTGTCCCCACCACTCTGTCCCTGTGTCCCCTCCCCGTGTGCCCCACGGTGTCCCCAAACACCCTGTCCCGGTGTGTCCCCTCCCCGTGTGCCCCACGGTGTCCCCAAACACCCTGTCCCGGTGTGTCCCCTCCCCGTGTGCCCCACAGTGTCCCCACCACTCTGTCCCT